TAAATTCATAGCAAAGCTAAAGGATTTTCCGTTAGAAATGGGTGCACATCCTTCGCTGTGAATCGGATCAAACATTCCTGTAACTAAAGAATCCCCTTTATGTAACAGCTCATTCTAACCTTCATTTGCAGTTTTAATGATCAAAGTCTCTCTTTCTCCTGATTTGTCCCCAGTCATGGACTCTGCCAAGTGCTTGTTGGTTTTTTTTTTTTCTTTCTGAAGTCTCATTCTCGTTCCAATTTGATGAATGGAGGGAAATGTCCATTTCTGCTGTCCCACCCAGACCTCATGAGCACTAGCATTGTCTGGCCGGCTCCTGGGGGAATTTGCTACCTTCATAGCTGTTGGCTGGGCTGTTGCAGCTGCATTTCTTTTGAAGCTTTATTTTTTAGAGATGTGATCCACAGCCTTGGGAACAGGTAAAGTGAGGAAAGGTGCTGGTGGCTTTCTGCCTGAGGAAGTGAAGTGGAACGTGATTAGGCTATTAGCTGCCCTTTGTTTCTGCAGTATTGGAAATCCGTTCAGTCGTGCCAGATGTTGCTTTGGTTAAGGACGTGCTGTCTTTTATCGTACTCACAGAAATAATTTAAAGCCATGCTCATGATATGCACAGCTAGCAGAAGTGATGTGGGCAAATGTGAAGTGGATTTGTTCCTGTATGAAACTGTCCTGATAACTTTGAGGGGTTAAGCAAGAAAGACCTTGATAATTCAGTTCAGGTTGTTGGGAACTGAGCTTTGAAGGTTACGTGATTGCATGTTCTCCCTTCTCCCACCGTCACATGGCACCATTGGAAACATGTCTGAGTGGAGAATACAGTTATTTTTGGTACTGTCCCAGAAACTTATCAGGTGAAATGCAATTAATGAATCAAGAGCTTAAAAATATCTGCCCAGAAGCAGCAGGTACTCTTTTGGTGACTGAGTACAAGAATTTCTTTCAGAAGAACAACATACAGAAAGCTTTTCTTACCTCATCTCTTCCCAGATTGTGTTTCTCTTACTTCCAGGGATGTTAGATTTTTGCTCTTCCCTTTAAAATACGCCTGCACCTGGGCAAATCAGAGGACAGGAAAATCTCAATTTGCATGAGCTCAATGAAGATTTAGCTGAAATCCTCGTAGGGTTTGCCTGCCTCAGGTCTTCCTGTAGCACAGGCAGCCCACGTGGTGCTGGAGGGAGGCTGAGAGCAGCAGAGGTGGCCAGAAAATGCAGAGTCCGTGATTTAAATTCACAGTGGACCAGAATGAATGCAAAGGATGAGGGAAAGGAAAGAAGGGAACGAGGAGTCTTCCAAAGTTATGTGTGAAGCAGAATGGTGGAGATGCCCAACAGGGCATGCAAGCAGATGGGGGCTAAGTCCAAGGAGACGGGGGTAGAGGCTGCTGTCTGCTAAAGGATGCAGGTGGCTGGAGGCAGGTAGTGGGTGGGAGCTGTAGTAATGGGAATGTGCAGGCTGGAAACAGTTGTCAGTGGTAGAGGAGGGAAGTGCAGTAGACCAAGTGCAGAGAAGGAAGCAGGTACAAATTGCACCGGGGAGATGCAGGAAGTAATTTTTCTCCAAGAGAGCGGTCAGGCAATGGAACGGGCTGCACAGGGAGGTGGAGAGTCACCATCCCTGGAGGTGTTCAAGAAACACTGAGATGTTGTGCTGAGGGACATGGCTTCATGGGGAATATTGATGGTAGGTGGACAGTTGGACTGGATGATCTTAGAGGTCTTCTTTAACCTCAGTGATTCTATGATTCCGTGACACAGAACCAGTGTGCATGGAAGAGATACAACACTTTGTGTCCCATTTATGTAAGGAGGAGTACCAGGGTCATGTGTGGAACCTGGAGCTCAAGATAGCTGCACGAATGGTGCTCTTCGAAGCAGGTCAGTCTGAAAGGGAGGCTGAAGGAGCCTGACTGTAGGACAGCAGTGGAAAGAGCACAGATTCATTTGAGTTGTTGGGACCTTGAGAGATCATCTAGTCCACAATTTCTCTCCAAGCTGCAGCCAGAGACACGACATCCCACCGCTTTGAGTTCCTCACCACCTCTGCCACTTCTGCTGTCCGTGACAGAGAATGTGTAAGGCCAGTTGAGGAAAAAAATGGGCTGATCGTAGAAGAAAGGCGTGCATGTCATTGCCTGCACTCCGAGTGCGTAAGGCGTGGGCCATCTTAGGCTGTGCATTCTCCAACTGTGGAATGATTGAATTTGCAACTGTACTAATGTTTCTCCGAGTGTAGTCTTGATAAATAGTACAGAGCAATGGGTTAAGAAGATGGAGGAGGATTATACTGTTCAGAAGGGAACAGCTTTAGCAGATAGCTAATAAGAGATAACAGAAGTGGAGAGCACAAGGCTAATACATCATGGCTGAAATACCCACGTTTATTAACAAAGCCAACAGGGAAGGCTTGTCTCTGTGTTCTTATTTTCTGTGTGTTTGACAGTCCCCAAAGACATCAAGGCTCCAGTGCTGGGCATTGAGAACTTCTACAGGAAGATGGTATTTGCATTAAGGGGCTCAGTTCAAATAGACAGGGCAGACACAGAGTGGGAGAGGAGCAAGAGTGCTGAGAGGTAAAGCAGGTGGCAATGGTTAGCAGCAGAGCTGATGGCTGGACTGCTGAATCCCAGGGCACTGATGTATCTGTTAAACTGTACTGTTTGCACTCGTACTGAAGCCAAAAGGAGGTCTGAGTAAATGCTCAAGGCTAAAAGCACTGTGGGACGTCTGCCTCAACAACCAGAATCTGAAATGGGCTGATTTGGCTTTTTTAAAGGAAAAAGCAAATGAATCCGCTGCTATTCTGCATGGTCCTGCTGCCACCATAGCACACAATGAGCACTGTGTCACTAAAGGAGAAATCCCATTAAAATCAGAAGGGCTGCAGCCCTGAGCCCTGGAGGGAGATGCAGGCTGTAATCTGTTACTGGAAGCTGTTTGTATTGGCTGAGAAACACGCAGGTTAACGGTACTCTCAGCATTTTCACAGGGCCTAGAAACGCCCTCTGCGCTTTGCATGGCAGGATAAATAAGATGTTAGGTACCGGTCTGAAGGTTTATGTAATGCAGCGTTGGGGCAGCAAGAACAGAAGCTTTGATTCGGGGGTAGATGAGGGCAGTTCTGCCAGGGAACCAGCTTTGTGTTCCTGGAGTCCCAGGGCATCGATTCACCCAGTGTTGGCGTGCTCAAATTCCGTACCAGATTTAGCAGGAATGTATACGAGTCTTTTTGTATACAAATCTCCAGTCTTCTTCCCTCCCATGGATAAAAGCAGAGTGCCAATACGCTCTAAGGTTTGTTTCCAGGATTTTGATGGCCATTTTCAAGAAGTGAAAGCTTTGAAATCAATTTAAGTGCATTTCCTTGTTTGACTAAAAGCCATAAAGCCATCAGAAGAAGTGAATCTGGGTAGTTTTGTCACGACTGAAAAAGCGTAGGACAGCATATGTTTTAGCTGAGCTTATTTAGGACATCCTGCTGCTAAAATCAGCCTACGGAATGGTCAAATTTCATTAAAGTAACATTCAGACTATTTGTACTCAATTAAACGTTTATTTTAAATTTCCTCTTGATTTACTGATTCGAATGCATTGTTCATTTTTCGCATACCAAGCGCCGTTGCTTGGTCTCAAGGGAATTATTGTTACAAATTTAACAACTGTGACATATTAAAAAGCGCATTTAAGGAAGAAATTAAGGGTTGGAAGGATGTGACCAAATGTTTCCGTAGCGTTTGGCCAAAATGTCACTGAAATGCCAACATGATTTTAACAGGAGTTAAAATCAGAACTTTCAGAGCACGTCTTGCCTATCAAAAAGATAAAATAATCCTTGTCTGCATCGGTAGCAGGCATACATCCATTGCACTTGCCAGAAAATCATTTTCATTTTTGGAAACTACTTTTAACTGCTGAGTAATTAAGGTGTTAGCTCTGTGCTGTGCAGCTGATTAGCAAGGAGGAAGTCAATAGCTCAGAGCGTGGAAGCAAAAATGTTCAAATGAGATGCATCGTGGAGGCACCTGCATCCCTAATTAATGGCCGGGTGGGAATGGCAGGAACGGCTTTTTCAGGAAGTTCTTTGAAAGTCAGACCCCAAACTGGGCAATGAAAAATAGGAAATGGGTTTAAAGTGAGACAGGGGAGGTTTGGGTTGGATATGAGGAGGAAGTTTTTCAGCCAGAGGGTGGTGAGGCACTGGCACAGGTTGCCCAAGGAGGCTGTGGATGCCCCATCCCTGCAGGCATTCAAGGCCAGGCTGGATGTGGCTCTGGGCAGCCTGGGCTGCTGGTTGGCGACCTGCACACAGCAGGGGTTGGAGCTGGATGAGCACTGTGCTCCTGTGCAACCTGGGCCATTCTGTGATTACTTCTGAGAAACATGACTGTACTGTCAAAGGTGGATTGGGAAGGGTGCATGTGCAAGTCTGTGGAACTGTGTCCATGCTTATTTCCTTGTCGTTTCGGTTGCCTTGGTAGGTTATCAGAACAAGACTGTTCCAAGGGCTGTGAAAGCCTCTTAGGGTGCTCAGGGCACCGGTGCAGGATGCTGGTGCTGAGTGTTCATAGAATCACAGAACCACAGCATGGCCTGGGTTGCAAAGGAGCACAGTGCTCATCCAGCTCCAACCCCTGCTGTGTGCAGGTCGCCAACCAGCAGCCCAGGCTGCCCAGAGCCACATCCAGCCTGGCTTTGTTCTTCTGGGCAATTTGAGGAGCAAAGCTGTTTTCTCTGGGTTGTGAACCTTACACGGGTGATTCACTTTGAGATCTTTAAAGACAGCTCATGGTAGCAATACTGAAATGCAGGACAGCCACACCGCTGCTTTTTGCAGGCTGGCACAATTGTTGCATACTTTAGCAGCACAATTTGCTTTGTTTCTAATTAGCACTGGTGATGGCATTCCATGAAGATCAGCTCATTAGAAATCTGTATCAGTGTAGATCAATTAAAAATCTGTTCCTCTTCATGGTTCTGATGTTCTTTTTTCTTCTGTGCCAGCACACAGCCACATCTCAGACATATGGAGCAGCCTCTCTGGGGCAGGAGGGACCAGGGAACAGACCTCAGTGATGGCTGCCTCACCCACAAGCAGGACGGGGCACTCGTGCTTCTACAGCAATACATGGAAGATTTTGTTTGTTTCATTCTCCCGTGAGGCTGTTAAATGGTATGTCCAGGAAAATATCTTTTTTTTTTTTTCCTCTTTGGTTTGAAGCCGTTGATTATTTACAGTTCTGTTAAAAAAGAAAACAAAACAAAGCGTATGAAAAATTTGGTGGTTAGCCACCCTGCCCACAGTATGGGGCTTGGATGTCAATGATCTTTAAGGTCCTTTCCAACCTAAGTCGTTCTATGATTCCATGAAAGAAACATACTTGAGAATTGCAATCGCCCTAATTTCTATGTTTTTCTGAACTTTCTTCACTGAAGAGCCTGGTCCTGTGTTCATTGAATCTCAATGCACGTGGCAACCTGTGACCAGCTGTGAGACCGTGTGGGCAAGGACTGGTTTGTCTGCTGAAGGTGAGGCAGCAGCTCTTTTGCACAGTTCAAGGGTATGTGCTCAGCTTGCCATACATCATTATGGAGACGTTAGGGCCCGTGGCTTGGCAGCAGCTGTGACATTAAAATGTATAAGATGTTACCAAAAGAAGCACTTGGCAAAATTTTTTTGGCTTCCCAAGGCATAAACAAGAAATTTTCACTACAATGGTAAGTTAGAATGGGGGGTGAGACACTAATATAATTAGGGCATCCACTCCAGAGAGCACAGCTGGCTAAATTAAGCCAAGAGAGGGCAGCCCTGGTGGCTGAGGGGCACAGCGGGGAATTCCCAGGTGAGATCTGTGTTATGCCCTGCTGCCATCCTGAATCTGTGCAGGACAGATTTTTCCAGTGCTAGAAATAGATGTGGCCCTTTGCTACCTGCACAGATAAGCTAATTCATAGCAGCTGAAGCGTTGTCTTTAGGAGCAGATGTACAAATGAGAAGGTATCTTAGTCAAATGGATTTCTGGTAGCTTAAGGGAGATACCTGCCATGGAATTCAAAGGGCACTTTGAGCATTCTGTGGCTCTCTGGATGTAAGTGTAGTTTTTGCATTTGATAAGCCAGTTCTGAAACTCAGATTTCCACTTGGCATTCATTAGGCTACAGCTCAGTAGCTTTTATCGCAGAATCACAGCATGGCCTGAGTTGCACAGGAGCACAGTGCTCATCCAGCTCCAACCCCTGCTGTGTGCAGGTCGCCAACCAGCAGCCCAGGCTGCCCAGAGCCGCATCCAGCCTGGCCTTGAATGCCTGCAGGGATGGGGCATCCACAGCCTCCTTGGGCAACCTGTGCCAGTGCCTCACCACCCTTTGTGTTTTATATCTGACCCAGGCTATAAAATGAGTTCTTTATGTCACGCTTTGTTTTCAAAAAGAAAGTGTGGTGAAGATGTAGTGTCATAGCTCAAAAAAATCCACAGCAATGACCTGCAGCTTGGAGAAGTGTGTCTTCATTCTTGAATGATGTAGTAACTGCTTAGCTTGTACAGCTGATTTTACAAAAATATTTATTTCAGTGAGATTAATTCCAGCACACTTCTGGCTTCTTCTTTTAGAACTTTTCCTTGTTCCTTCATTTGGCTCTTGATGAGGTGAGAGCTGCAGCGATGGCACCTATAGTCTCTTGTTTGCAATAACAGCACTGCAGTGCAGTCTGGTGAGGAGGACCGTAAGGCTCTACGTGGCCATCTGCACTGACACAGCAGCACCACGATGTCGAAATACAAACGGGAAAGACTTCACATCTGCCTGGTAATGTAACAAAGCAATATGAACATTTTCATAAAATGTTCTGAAAGCGGTTTGGTTTGGCTCACCATTTGGATACTGGAGCCAAAGAGACTGTCCTGAGAGCGGTGCAAGCAGAAAAGCAATACGGTGCAGTGAATGAGGCTGCAGGATCTGAAGTGCTGTTTTAATAAGGCAGTAAATGTGGCAGAGCGTTGTAAAATCCCTCGCTGTTCTGCCTGTGCCCAGATGGCAATTGTACATTGCAGGCAACATCAGCACAGTAATTTTACTGTGTAGCACTGGTGCAGTGTGGGGACGTAGTTTTCATCCTGATGGTCCCTGTGAAGTTCACAGGAAGTTCAACCTGTACTTCATATACTTTATTCTGATTGATTTCTAATTTTATCAATTATCCAAAGCTTAAAAATAGGTGCTGGTCGAGAGTTGCAAGGTGATCACTGTAAACACCAAAAGAAGGATAGAGAATGAACTTAATTGCAGTCTGCCTATCAGGGGAAAAAAAAAGGTATCAGCAGGGATTTTTAATCCAGCAGCAGAAGAAACATGAACTGGTAGTTCAGCACCTTGGGATTAATGGCTCTGAGCAGGAAAATTTAAACAAATACAAACCCTGAACAATTGACACTGCATTTTACAGAGGGATGCCTGAATGCTTCCTTACAGGCAGAGTACTGTAGTTCAGCCACCGTGTAGGTGGGTAAGGGCAGGAACTGGAGACTGGCATCCCACTGCCCCTGGGACAGGAGCTGGATCAGAGCAGTTATAACAACCCCTTCAACCCCAGATGCTTTCATTGCAGCTGAACTCTCCACGCTGAACCTGCTGAGGTCCTTGGTAGCTCTGTCTGTGATCTCCTGGACAGGATTGGGAAATGGTTGTTCTTCATATGTGTATTTGTATTTACATGTGAACAAGAGCAATTATTCTTCATCAGCCTTTGTTCTCCTATTTTTAAAAGGGTTACTCATCCCTTCAAATATTAGAATCAGCTTTTAGGTGATTGGAATCTGATTTAGGTGACAGTTCTCATCCCATGAGCAGCCAGAAATTGAAACGAACCATTTCTGGAATGAGCTGTTGTTGATCCAGGCTGTCCAACAAGTACTTGAATAACAAATATCTCTTACCAAACCAATGTTGGTTCATGAACAGAGAAAAAGAATGAAGTTCCTTGGATTGCTTGTTTGCAAAACACGGTTCAGCCCTTTCTTTGCTGTCCAGCTGTCGGGAACTAAATCCTTAACTGCTAAACCAACTCATTGACTTCAGTGGGGAGGTGGCAATCTGCATTCAGTGATCATCGAGACTCGAGAGTGCAGCAAGACAGCAGTGTGAAAATACAAATGGGAGGGGGAATGGTAGCAAGGCATTTCAGGATAGCCAGAAAGACTTCTGGGATAAATTGCAGGCACAGTCTGCTTTCTGCAAAGATAAGTTTTTCTTCTTCTTCTTCTTCTTTTTTTTTTTTTTTAATCTCTTATTTCTCTTAGTGCTCGTGAAGATCAAATGTGAAGCAAAACTGGTAAGGAGAGGGAGGGTTAACACAAGTGATGCAGCAAGGGGGCATGGGCAACTTTAGAAACAAATCTCTTTGTCTTGACAACTTTAGCCCTCTTTTTTATCAGCTGGTTCTACTGGAGTGTCACCACTAGCTAGAAAAATTACTGTGCTGATGTTGCCTGCAATGTACAATCACCATTGCAGGAACAACATCTGATCAAATACATCAGATTTTCCACTGAAGTTGTGTTTATTGGCTTAGCAGTGCAACTGGCTTGAGTGTAAAAAAATCCCAGCAATTTCACATGTTTGAAACTAAATCATTTGCTTGATCTTGTCTTCTCCAGTTTGGTCATGAGACAGTTGCATAAGGAGGCATCAGGCCCAAAGAGGGAACGCCGTGAAACAGGCAGTTCTTCAGACTGAGTGGGCACTGCTGTAATATTCTGCAGTGGCATGGGGGTGCAGAATTCTGTTGCTTTTAAACGTGTTGTGTTTGTCTTTGGATAGACAGTGAAGTGGAAGCTGTGTTTCCTATAAATGCAGATTTGGAATGAGCTGAGCTCGGGAGTTGGTTCTGTTTAAGCAGATGGGCATAGAGGCAGCGTTGAGTCAAGCAACTGTATAAATGAAATTCACTCATCTGGGGAGTAAAGCAGCTAGGATGTCATTGCCTTGCACTGAGAATGCAAAAAAGGGTGGATAATAGCAGGACAAGGGGAAATGGTTTGAAGTGGAGGGAGGGCAGATGGAGGTTGGATGTCAGGGGAAGTTGTGTGCTGTGAGAGTGGTGAGGTGCTGGAACAGCTGCCCAGAGAGGCTGTGATGCCCCGTCCATCCCTGGAGGTGTCCAAGGCCAGGTTGGATGGGGCCCTGGGCAGCCTGGGCTGCTGTGAAATGTGGAGGTTGGTGGCCCTGCATGGCACAGGGGGGTTGGAGCTTCGTGATCCTTGAGGTCCCTTCCAACCTGGGCTGTTCTGTGATTTTGTGATAATGGTTCCCTTGGCATGTCGAGTTTTGAAGGTCTGAAGATTAAACAGGTGACCTGAGTGCTCATCTGGGCTGGAGAGGAATCTTGGTGAAGAAGTTCCCCTCCTGTCAGAATGGTAAAATCCATCCTTCACCACTGGGAAACTTTCTATTAATGCTTTTGGAGAGAATTTGCTGTCATTTAGCATTCATGGCACTTGGGCAGAAGAATTCAATTAGATAATTAAGGGTTATTAGTGTTATTTATTACCAACGTTGTAATGTTTAGAGGCCCTTCTTTTTTTCCTATGGCTTATAAAAACACAGAAGTGAAGACAGTTCTTTTCCAAAATGCTTTAGTTTAAGAAAGCTGTTAATATAACAGAAATACCCCCAAAATGTGAAGCAAGATCTCTTTTCTAGTGAGCAGAAACGAGCAGCTACTCAGGATATGCCAATGACTTCAGTTACTGCTCACCTGCCTCTCATGTTTCATGGTTGAAAAAAATGTTGGTATGAGATTTATAAATTACTTCTTCAGCAAGTAATGCCAGAAGTGCTTTGAGAGAGCTGATCTGTGAAGTTATTTGAATGCCAGGGCATACATAGAATCAGGGAATCATTAGGGTTGGAAAAGGTCATTTAGTCCAACTGCTGACCCATCACCGCCAGGCCCACTACATTCATTAATACTTCAATAGTTGAGGAGCTGGTGAATCTCCTCCCAACCCTAGGAGGCATTTTTAACAAAGTTTTTGTGGAAGGTGACAAAAATCTGGATGCTGGCCGTAGAGGCTTTAAAGCACCTTAAAAATGAGAAAGCTACTCAACAGCTTCTCCATTATCCTGCTGCACGGCAGAATCCCTTACACACATAGCCCAACTCACTCCATCAAAGCCATCACAGCTGAACGTTTTGCCCAGGAGATGTATCCAAAATACTGTAAATTCCTACGGAAAGAAATTCTTTGCCTCCATTAGCATTTCAACACACACTCACTACAGAGATCTCAATGGGGGTAAAGCATTAAAATCCTTTCAAAAGTGGTTTCGTTGGCTAATTAGACAATAAACATAAACCTGATGCATCCAGCTGTACAAATAAAACGTGACTTTAAAGTTTCATGTCCTGTGTGCAGAGTAGGCTTGAACTTGGAGCCAAGGCGGGCCGAGGGAAGGTGGCTGGCGTACAGCTCCGTAGTGCAGCCTCAGGAGAGCCCAAAGAGAGTTTATTTTAAGTGTAACTCAAAGGAACTAAGTACCAGTTACCACAAATAGGGTGATCTTTATCTTCCTTCGTTGGCTTGGGCCGAGGGAAAAGAATCTCAGACGAGTTGCGCAGCCGCGGGCTTCACAGAGAGGATATCTCCCTCACGCTGCTGACGTGCCTCATTTTTTGGGTGCTACCTCACTGCTGAAGGAAATGAACGGGTCATTTCAATGCCCTCTGGTGCCCCTGGCTCCTGGTAGGTGTGATGAAGTAGCTAAATGCTCACACCAGTGACGTTCCTGCCCTGCTGCGGTTGGTGAAGGGGAGTTGGGTTCCCCTGGCGCAGCTCTTTGGCCATCTTGGAGCGGCACCTGTAAGCGCTCACTTTGAGAGATGGCTAATGTGCTAATTACCCGAGTCCCAAAAATGCAAGCTGTAAACAAATGAGGACTGTATTTATAATCCATCAATTTTATGACCTTCTGATGGTGATGATATCAGTGGAGTTTACATTGGGAGCCCTTGTACTCCTCCAGGGCAGCTGTGCCCTTATGTTTTAGTTACAACTCGAAGAAGATTTTGCTGATTTACTTTATAGTAAGCGTGCTTAGGAAAAATATTACCTTCCCTAAACAGCTGAGCCCGTTACCAAGTCTCATTTTTAAATAAGGAAAACACAGGGACTGTCAGTACCTTGAGGCTGTATTGTCAGGTGACGGGCTGTTTTGAAAACATCCATGGCAGAAAGTAATGACTTCAGAGCAAAATATTGTTCTCATTGGTATAAGTTGCCGTGAGACAAATCCCACACCCTCTGATGTCAATGGAAAGACTCTGTTTGACTTCAAAGAAGGCTGGATCAGGCTCTAAAAGAAAAGTTGCCATCGTAAAACACCACAAATGCTTTATGGTTCATGTGCTTAAAAATCCTCTGCTCAACGGTGATCTTCTGCACAGTTTACCTGGCTACATGCAACTTGGAATTTTTGTGTTTGCTTTGCAATGGGTTTATGACAGAAGAATGCCCGTAAAGTCTGATTTGTGAAGTGTTAAAATGATGTCCTGGAAAGCCACGCCGTGCCAAAGTATACAAGATGCCCTGTAATACCTCAGCTCGAGGAAGGCTGTCCAACTTCCCCGATGTTACTAAGTTCTCACAAAGAAAAACAATGCTGCTTAACCATAGACAGATGTATTAAAAATAGCTAGATATTGTGCCCTTGTTCTTTTATTGGAGTCATTAGCTTTTCAATCTAAATTCAGATTAGAGTTTGAGGACAGAACTGTTTCCTGCGTTTTCCAAAGCTTTCATTTGGGCAAC